CGCTCACTTGTCTTGACCAATGTTCCCTCTAAGCTGTGGAGTCTTGTACGCAAAAATGCTACTTTGTGAGCCACTGGCATTAAAGCTGTGAGCCAGCGATTTGGCTACTGCGTAAATTTGTTTGCTCTGGAGCCGTCCTTCCTGAGCTAAGACAAAAATGTGTGAGCTGAAGGCTAAAAAACTGTGAGCTAGCTGACACTAACTCAGCTTAGAGGGAACACTGGTCTTGACCCACCTCGCGGGGTTGTTGTGAAGCCAAAAAAGGCTCCAAGGGGGAGGGGCGCAGAAGAACCCGGGGAAAGATGCGGAGAACTTCTCCTTCCTCCGCCCTCCGAGGCACCATGAGGGTGAAATTGACCCACAAGCCCGTAAAAGGCTCCAAGCGGCGCCCCACCAGCCCGCCAGCCCTTCTCAAAACACTACTTATCACGTGACACGCCGGTTGCCGTGGCAACCCCTCCTTTCCCCCCCACTCACGCTTCCTTTTCCTGCTGCAGCGGCGGTCGTCGCCAGAGGGCGCTCTCGCTCCCCCAAAGGGGAGCAGGCCAGAGACCCTTCCCACAAGCCCCGCTCGCTTCGGGTCTCTTCTCCACGGGGCGGTCGGGCGGAGGCCGCGGCCTGCCCTACCGCCCTCTCTCCCTCCTTGGGCGCTGCGCGGCCGTCTCTCTCTTCCGCCCGAAGGCGCAGAAAACCCTCTCAAGCGTTCCACGCAGCCCTCACTTCGGGCTCCGCTCGACGCGGCTTCGGCGCGAGCTTATATCGGTTTCTACCTCTCTTGCCCCGCAAATGGAGGCGGCCGGAGCGGCTTCAACCGAGAGCCGGAAGTCGCATCGGGGGAACTAGCCTAGAAGTCTGCGGCCGCTTCGGCCTCCCCCCCCCCCATTGGCTCCCTTGGCGAAGCTGCGGGCTGTGATAGGACAGAGTCCCGCCTATGAGCCAGCACTTCCGCCCTTACCCGTGGGAACGACGGAAGTAGCTGATGGGAGAGTCCGACTGAAGACCGGGCGGAAGAGGCAGTGGGAGGCTTCGAGGGAACGAAACGCCGGCTGCGCTCGCGGTTTCCGGCTGAATGCCTCCCTGTACCTGGTTGGGACGTGATGCAATATCAAGGTGGCCGGCGCTGATTTTGGAGGCCGCCCTCCAAATGGGGGTTGCCATCCTCCAGATGGGGCCTGGAGTTCTCCCGGAGTTAGGACTGATTTCCAGATGGCGAAGGTCAGTTCACCGGCAGAGAACGGCCAATTCTGCGGGTGGACAACCCGACCTCCAAAAAATCTGGGTGAACTTCAGGTTCCACTTGGAGGAATCTCCATCAGGATTCGACTGGCTTTCGAGGAAGGGAACCTTTATAGATAGTGGCTCTGGGGCAAGGGATGCTCTGTCATCTTGGTGCTTGGGGGGGTCAACGGTGGGAGGGCTTGTAATGTCCTGGCCCCACTGCTGGACCTCCTGATGGCACTGGTATTTCTGGCCACTGTGTGACACAGAGTGGGCACTCCATGAAACTGCAGAGCGGTCGGGTTAGAACGGATAAAAGGAAGTCCTTCTTCATCCAAAGAGTGATTCACACATGGAATTCACTGCCACAGGAAGTGGTGGCGTCTACAAGCATGGACGGCTTCAAAAGGGAATTAGATAAGCATATGGAGCAGAGGTCCATCAGTGGCCCCTATTAGCCACAAGGTATAGATAGGGGCTCTGGGGCAAGGGATGCTCTGTCATCTTTTTCTTCACCCAAAGAGTGATTAACACTTGGAATTCACTGCCACAGGAAGTGGTGGGTGCTACAAGCATGGACGGCTTCAAAAGGGAATTAGATAAGCATATGGAGCAGAGGTCCATCAGTGGCTATTAGCCACAAGGTATAGATAGGGGCTCTGGGGCAAGTGATGCTCTGTCTTCTTGGTGCTTGGGGGGGTCAACAGTGGGAGGGCTTCTAGTGTCCTGGCCCCACTGGTGGACCTCCTGATGGCACCTGGTATTTCTGGCCACTGTGTGACACAGAGTGTTGGACTGGATGGGCCTTTGGCCTGATCCAACATTGGCATCTCTTATGTTCTTATGATGGTAACTTTGTAGTGTAGTGGTCAGTGCTGTACTGTAGTCTGGGAGACCCAGGTCTGGATCCCTGCTCTGCCTTGGAATCTCACACCCTCTCAAAGAGTTGCACATAGCTCAGCCTCCCAAATGCGGTTTTCAAGCAGCAACTTCATAGGAGACACTGTTTCCCCCATTAAGTCTGCACAAACGTACTGAGATCACTGGAGGGAAGTTAGTGTGACTTTCCCCGCAACGAAACAATTCCTAATCAGGAAGCGTGCCTGGAATGTAGTGTGGATTATGCCAGCTGTTCCTAGCCTTCTGCTAGGGAAAAAATATCCAAGAAGGGATCTGGGGCCCCGGTCACACGGGAGAGGCACGGAAGGTGGGCGGATTATCCAGGCACGATCACACCCCAACATCTGGGAAGTGGAGCGTACCCGTGGCTTACCGCCAACAATGCACCTTAAAAAACTAGTACCTCCAAGGTACTAGTAAACGTTTGCCACGGGCTGCCTCCAGACACCCGTGGTGTGATCGCGCCAGCGCGCGGCATTCCCCTCTGGTCCCTCGTTTACCTGCCGGCGCCAAGGGAGGGACCTGTGGTGTGCCGCCGGCGCGTCTGATCGTGTAATCGCACATCAAACTGCGTCGGGGCAATTAGCCATGCCCCCCCCCCCGCAATATCCAGCCTTTGTGACTGGGGCCATAGGTATCCATATAGGAAATACAACAAACTTTACAATATTACTAGGAAATGTCTATCATTCTCAATGAGCAACCTGGATATAAACTCATTTCATCCCAATCTTCCTCAGGAGTAATCGTATTGTACTGAAAGTTGTCAGCCTCTTGATACAGCTCAGTGTTATGTTAGGAGCAAACCGATGCTTAACTTCTTTATTTTCTTCAAATTATCTTCTGGTTCCATTTCAAGTGTTTGTATTAGGAGCAAGCCTGTCTTGTCTTCTTTAACTAGGTGGAAAAGCCTTCTATATTATGCTGTCTTAAATGCTTTCCATGAACACCGTATTAATATTTATAGTAGTAGAAAACCAGTCCTTTTTTCTACCTGGCTGGAAGCCTTCAATTTCAAATTTGGCTGTCAAAATGCTCTCTACGACAAGCTGGAGCCCAGACTGTATCAAGAAAACTATTCTATGTAATTAATTCCTAGAATAGTTTTCTTTATACAGTCTGGGCTCCAGCTTGTTGAGGAGGGCAATGAAGATGGTGAGGGGTCTGGAGACCAAGTCCTATGAGGAAAGGTTGAAGGCGCTGGGTATGTTTAGCCTGGAGAGGAGATGACTGAGAGTGATATGATAGCCATCTTCAAATACTTGAAGGGCTGTCCTGTAGAGGATGGTACGGAGTTGTTTTCCGTTGCCCCAGAGTGTCAGACCAGAACCAACGCGTTGAAATTCAATCAGAAGAGTTTTCGGCGAACTTGGGCAGATCATGAGAGGGAGGGCAGGAAGGGTTGCCTCAGTGCTTGGTTCTTGTGGCCCTTCCTTACACGCCCAGGGAAATGCTGATCGCCACTTTGGGGTCAGGAAGCCATTTTTCTCCAGACCAGTCTGGCCAGGGATCCTGGAGGAATTTTTTTTTTTAATCCTCTTCTGGGCATGGAGCAGGGGCCACTGCGGGGGAGGTATTTGTGAATTCCCTGCCTTGTGCAGTGGGTTGGACTAGATGTCCCTGGAGGTCCCTTCCAACTCTGTGATTCTATGGTTACTACTTGGACGGGAGACTACGAAGGAATTCCAGAGTTACTACGAAGAGGCAGGCAATGGCCTTGAAGACCCTATGGGGTAGCCATAAGTGGGCTACAGCTTGACAGCACTTGGCCTCCATTGGTACCCAGTTTCATTTGGAACGTGAATGCGCATTGGCTCTTTCTTACACAAGCAGATGCACGTGTGTACATGTGTTCAGCATTTGAACGGGATGTTAGTAGGGCGCCCCACTCCCCAAGCTGACACTCCGGCAGTCTGGCCCAACTCTGGTGCTACCCAGCACCATCCCCTGTCTCTTCATAGTTGAGTTATCACATTAAAGTATGTTAATTTGAAAATAAAGATATTTTATGAGACACAAATATACATAAAAAGCATTTCAAGGGAAGCATCAGTGCTACATTCAGGCAGATCGTTAGTGTAGGATAAACTTTATCATACAGTAGGAACAATCCTCATCTTAGTGTGAATTGCCGGCTGGAAGACCCCCTCCCTACCCAGCCTGACACAGATGAAGCAGAGGTAAAGACGGCTGCCTAGGATGGGGACCAGTGGAGCAGTCCCAAAGAGGGTTGTTTCCAAGGGTGGTATAGAAATGACTGCTTGCCTTTTTCTTGCAGAAAGGCAGCCCCCAGATATGATGCTTGGAAATGTCTCTCAGTGCTGAGCCTCTCCCAGTCGCCAACAACCCAACCTTCCTGTCCACCCCTAATACCTGCACCCTGAAGGTGGAAGGGAAGGCATTTGGCAACGACGTTTAGCTTAGAGATTATTTTGGAAATAAAAGAATCAAGAACCCCTAAGAAAGAAAGCTAGAAAAGGGAACCTTAGAACCCTTCCTTGAGTTAAAAAGAGCCTTTTATCGGGACAGTTCAATAAAATAACATTAAAACAGGAGGAATGATCTACAATGGGTAGGATGCCGTAGGTCCTTCCGGCCAGTGGTCATACTTTCCTCCAAAGCAAGACGCTAAAAGAGCTTCAAGGACTCTCTTGTATCAGAGGGACTTCCCTTGCGCTGTAGGGAACCCACCACCGCTAGCAGAATGGATCCAGCCCAATAAGTGCACAGACTTGGAAATTTTAAAGAAGAATGTGCTTCATGGCAAAGGAAAGTTATTTTCAGTTCCCCAAACTCCTGTGAAGAGGAGTTCTGGGAACCCTGAGGCAACCTACAGGCTGGGGGGGCAGTTCATGAGATCCCGTGACTGCAATTACGGGCTGGCATGCAGCCTGTTCCATTCCTCAGATTGACAATCTGCTCACAGGCCTGAGGGAAACCTGCGGCTCCGGGCGCCTATCTCTTGAGAATGTGTCTTCAGCAACTGATGTGCCGACGCAAGCGCAGTTCATTTCCAGCGGATGATCTCTTCCGTGGCCAAGTGCATGATCTTGTTGAAGTCAAAGTGGATGTACTTCCTCCAGAACCGCCTGTCTCTGCCATAAACCTGTGCAGGATAACGTGGACTCCCTGTCCAGAGAGGGAGAAAAACTAGTAAGCATAACATCCTTTGGAGCCAAAAGGCAAAGGGGTTTCTAATTTCTACTTTCTAGTGCCTGGGCCTACAACTTTGGCTTACAGAGCGAAGGAAACATATTTCTCAGTTCCAATCAGGAGCAGGTATCTTTTATGAAAGAAAAGAAGATTGGGTTTTTACCCCACCCTTCACTCAGAGTCTCAGAGTGGCTTACAAACTCCTTTCCCTTCCCCTCCTCACAACACACACCCTGTGAGGTAAGTGGGGCTGAGAGAGCTCTGAGAGAAGTGCCCTTTCAAGGACAGCTCTGACAGAACTATGGCTCGCCCAAGGTCATCCAGCAGCTGTAAGTGGAGGACTGGGAATCAAACCCGGTTCTCCCAGATTAGAGTCTGGGAGAAGTGGGCACGGACAACTTCTCTCCCCAGTTCTCAAGGGTTCCTACTTATATGGGTCTCTAGTCAAAATTCCTGCCCTCTTTAAAAAGAGAGAGAACACCAATATAAAAGGTAAATACTCTGACACAGAATATCATTTAATTAAAAATGAAACACACCTTTAGAGGAATATTGCATAGATATGAGGTGGGAGCATGGGACTTTTCTTTTGTGACTGATGACCCCCCCCTGGACACAAGCCAGTGGGTCCCAGTGATAGATCCACACAGAAATTTCCACTCAAGTTTCTCATGGGTGGGGCTGGGGGAGAGCAGTATTTAACCCAAAAGATCAAATGGCTGTTTTTGTCCCGGAAGAATGGGACTCCCTCATAATGGTATAGCAACTTGGAGGGAAGATATTCATATCCTCACAACAAAAGAATTACTAGTACTTAGGGGTAATTTCCTGCGGGAGCGCACAGGAGCGGAGCTCCAGCAGTAAGGAGCCCACGGGGTGGGCACATGCAACAAGCCCCACCCCCTGCTACCAGCAGCCCTCAGTTGGGCCACGAGGAACAAGAAGCAGCCAGGTAAGTTGCAGAGCCCCCCCCCCCCCCCGGGCCGCCTTCAGGTACAAGCTCTCCCTCCTCTGTGAGGGCAGATCTGCGTGTTCCCC